TGATGCATAACAAGTGATTGTGAAGACCATGGCCTGTATCAGACGCACCTTAGTCTCCAGAGAGACACCATCGCTCTCCAGTACTTTGGAGGCTCTGTAGGATTCTGTAAACTATTGATATGAGACCCTTGTCTGAGATAATATTGGCAAATGTTTTTCCCCAATCCTATCAAAAGCAATCTGCATGTTCAATGCAGTGCCAATACAGATACCAAATTAATTTTTCAAGGAGATAGAAAGGGAAAGTGTCAAGTTTATTTGGAGAGGAAAGAGACCTCGCATAAGCACAGCACTTCTGAAAAACAAAAATAAAGTGGGAGGCATAGTACTCCCTGATCTCAAAGCCTACTACACAGCAGTAGTAACCAAAACGGCATACTACTGGTACAATGACAGGCACATAGACAAAAGGAACAGAATTGAGGACCCAGAAATGGATCAAGTAATCTGTGGTCAAATGATGATATTCGACAAGGAAATAAAACATATCAAATAGCGAAATAATAGTCTCTTCAGCAAATGGTTCTGGCAAAATTGGAAGCCTTCCTACAGAAAGCTGAAACAGGATCTACATCTCACAACGTACACAAAAATCAACTGAAGATGGATCAGAGACCTGGGACTAAACCATAAAGTTCATAAGGGACAAACTGGGATCAAGCTTTGATGGTGTAGTCTGTGATATAAAGTAACTGTCAAATATAGCCAGAAATGCTCAATCTGAAGAGTATAAAACTGATGAATGGGACCTTCTAAAGATTAAATCCCTGTGTGTATTAAGAACTTTTCCAGCAGAGTGAAAAGAAAACCTACTCTCACCTTTTTAAAAAACGGGCTCATGTGGGATTGTCACTGCCTTACTCTACTATGATCTCATGTTAACCTACAAAAATCCTGTTACAAGACAAGTTCACATTTCCATGTTAATACGTTTAAAATGTCAATCTATCTTTTTTAAGGACAATATTAAACGCCTATAAAGAACCTTGGTGTGACACTGTGTAGTATATTGGCCTGATAGCTGAAAGTGAGCTCTGGTGATCTAGTTATAAGGAGTTGTGCAGCCAACCCAAAGACAGGGGTTCCAACCCACAGGCTACTCTGTGTGATAAAGATGAGTTTTCTTCTCCCATGATATTTTTGTCTTGTGAAAATTCAGTAGAGGGTCAGTTTTAACTCCAAGGAACACAGTAGTAACAATAGCTAACCAAAAGGTCAGATGTTTGAACCCATCAGTTGGTATGCAGAAGAAAGATGGGCATTTATCACCTACAAAAATTTATGTTGTTGTTGTTGTTATGTGCCGTCGAGTCGTTTGCGACTCATAGCGAC